TCCGGCCGTGTCTGCGCCGCCCGCTCGGTGTGGCGTGCGTCTCGCGGACACCTGCAGGCGGTCCAGAGCTTGCGCCGTGGCCGGCCACGAGTCCACCGATGTCCACGCGACCGCTGGCCTAGCAGGAAAACGACGCGTCGCCACCCCTCAGCGCCCGTGGGGGACGCTGGCGTGGGTCCACCTGCTCTCCAAGCCCGTGTCTGCTGCTGCCCTGGGCGGCCCCGGCCACCCGTACCCGCTCCGCGGGCTGCCTGGCCGACGGCCTTGTCCTGCAGTCCCGGCCGGAGGCTCGTGCCTGGCCGCGTGGGGCCCGCTGAGGCACCGCCGACGCTCGCTCCTCGCAGCGTGGCTGACCGGGCGCCCTCTCTTGGGCTGCCACCCTGCGGGTGTGGGCCACTGGCCCGCGGCACGGCCACACCGCGCGTCTGGGGTGGGTTCTGCTTTCGGCTGTGCCGTGAGGTGTTGTCTTGCAGCTGGACGCGGGTGACGGGGCCCGGGAACGCCGTCGCAGGGGTGGCGAGGCACACGGGCCTGGGCGTCCGGAGCCTCGGACCCCGTCTTTGCTGGGCTTGAGCCTCCGGGTCACCCCTCGTGCTCTCGTTTTTCTCCTCTGGGGGGACAGGAAGGCTGGGCGGCCTGTCCCTCTCCTCTGGTCAGGCTCTGGCTAGCTGGCCTCCCAAGAGGAGCCTGTAGTGTCCGGCGTCGTCTCGTAACGGCCCTTCCCCTGCCCGGACGGGCGCAGCCGGGCTCGCCCAGGCAGGCGCCACCTGGGCCGCGGTCTGCGCCTGGCGAGCTGCGGGCCCGGCCTGGCCTCCCCCATCACGGGAGAGTGGCGGCCTCTGCCCTCCCCTTTCTTGGGGTGCAAACCAGGTCGGCAGTTGCCTCTGTGCGCCGCGGTGGCGGAGGCCATGCCCCGGGCCAGTGCCCGGCACCAGCAGAGGCCTCGCGGCTCGACGGCCCCCGGCCGCCCACGACCCTCCCCGCCGGCCTCGGTCCCGCCGGCCCCTGGGCTGAAAGCGCTTTGCCGGACACCAGTGCCGAGGCCGAGGCCTGTGGGGTCTCTGCTTCCGCCCAGCCGCCACCTCGCCGCTTCCGGAGCGGAGGCCACTGGCCCTCGCGCTCCTCTGGGCTCACGTCTTCCCTCCACGCTGCCGAGACTCGCCGGTGCCTGCCCCGTCTCCTCCCCCGGCGCCGTTGAGCAGCTCAGGGGGCCTGGCCCAGCGTCCCCGGAGTCGCCGCCTGCAGCGGCCTTGTCC